AGTCATGTCTTTTGATGTGTGATGAAGTGAGTGAGAGGTTAAACGAGTCATGTCTTGTATGTGTGTGAATGGAGGTTAACGAGTCATGTCTTGTGATGTGTGATGAAGTGAGTGAGAGGTTAACGAGTCATGTCTTGTGATGTGTGATGAAGTGAGAGGTTAACGAGTCATGTCTTGTGATGTGTGATGAAGTGAGTGAGAGGTTAACGAGTCATGTCTTGTGATGTGTGATGAAGTGAGAGGTTAACGAGTCATGTCTTGTGATGTTGGGTGAAGTGAGTGAGAGGTTAACGAGTTTATGTCTTGTGATGTGTGATGAAAATGAGTGAGAGGTTTTAAAGAGTCATGTCTTGTGATGTGTGATGAAGTGAGAGGTTAACGAGTCATGTCTTGTGATGTGTGATGAAGTGAGTGAGAGGTTAACGAGTCATGTCTTGTGATGTGTGATGGAGTGAGAGGTTAACGAGTCATGTCTTGTGATGTGTGATGAAGTGAGTGAGAGGTTAACGAGTCATGTCTTGTGATGTGTGATGAAGTGAGTGAGAGGGTTTAAAGAGTCATGTCTTGTGATGTTTGGGTGAAGTGAGTGAGAGGTTAACGAGTCATGTCTTGTGATGTGTGATGAAGTGAGTGAGAGGTTAACGAGTCATGTCTTGTGATGTGTGATGAAGTGAGTGAGAGGTTAACGAGTCATGTCTTGTGATGTGTGATGAAGTGAGTGAGAGGTTAACGATCATGTCTTGTGATGTGTGATAAGTGAGTGAGAGGTTAACGAGTCATGTCTTGTGATGTTTGAAGAAGTGAGTGAGAGGTTAACGAGTCATGTCTTTTTGATGTGGTGAAGTTTAGTTAAGGTTAACGAGTCATGTCTTGTGATGTGTGATGAATGAGTGAGAGGTTAACGAGTCATGTCTGTGATGTGTGATGAAGTGAGTGAGAGGTTAACGAGTCATGTCTTGTGATGTGTGATGAAGTGAGTGGGGAGGTTAACGATCATGTCTTGTGATGTGTGATGAAGTGAGTGAGAGGGTTTAACGAGTCATGTCTTGTGATGTGTTTATAAGGAGTGAAGGTTAACGAGTCCTGTCTTGTGATGTGTGATGAAGTGATGAGAGGTTAACGAGTCATGTCTTGTGATGTGTGATGAAGTGAGTGAGAGGTTAACGAGTCATGTCTTGTGATGTGTGATGAAGTGAGTGAGAGGTTAAAGAGTCATGTTTGTGATGTGTGATGAAGTGAGTGAGAGGTTAACGAGTCATGTCTTGTATGTGTGATGAAGTGAGTGAGAGGTTAACGAGTTCATGTCTTGTGAGTGTGTGAAGTGAGTGAGAGGTTAACGAGTCATTCTTGTGATGTGTGATGAAGTGAGTGAGAGGTTAACGAGTATGTCTTGTGATGTGTGATGAATGAGAGTTAACGAGTCATGTCTTGTGATGTGTGATGAAGTTGAGTGAGAGGTTTAAAGAGTTCTGTCTTGTATGTGTGATGGAGTGAAGGTTAACGAGTCATGTCTTACGAAATGTATTATAAACACAGTAATACGCGGAAATGATACTGGCTGGGTCTTTAGTTCCTTTAACTACACTACACCCTACCACCACTACCACACTTCCACATACTACATACCACCCGCTCACAGCGCATCCGTGACGTACACTGCTAGCCATGGGCTAGCAAGGGTCATGTAAATTATATGATTGGGGACTAATACGATTTACAGTGGATCAGACTTTGCGACACACACTACCCACTACACCCTACACACTACCACACTATCTCCCTACCACAACTACTCCCTACTCCACTACTACACTACACCACTACCACACTACCACCCTACCACCACTACCACCACTGTACCATTTCTACATACTACCACTACCCCATAATACCCTTCTACCACTACTACTACCACACTTACCACTCTACCATACTACCACTACCACCACTACTACCACTACTACCACTTACCCACTACCACCACTGCTACCACTACCACCACTACTACCACTACCACCACTAAAACACATACCACTACTACCACTACCACACCCACCACACTATACCATACCACATAACTACCAACTACCACATACTACCACTGCTACCCTACTACCACTACCACCCCTACCACCACTACCACCACTACCGCACTACCACCCTGCTACAACTAAAATACACCTACCAACCCCTACTACACTACCACCACTTACTACCACTACCACCACCCATACCCACTTACCCAAATACTACCCCACTCCACCACTACCAACACTACAAAACCCACTACCCACTACCACCACTGCTACCCCTACACCCACTACCACTACCCACCCACTACCATCACTACCCACCACTACTATCACTTTACCACTACCACCACTACCACCACTACCACCACTACTACCCCTACTACCACTACTACCACACACCACTACTACCACTACTACCACTACCACCATACCACCACTACAAATTACTACCACAACTACCCCCACCACTCCCCACTAAAACCACTACCACCACTACCACCACTACTAAAACTACTACCACTACCACACTACCACCACTTTTCTTACCACTCCACCACTACCACCAACTACCACTCTACCACTACACCATTACAACACTACCACCACTACTACACTATTACCACTACCACCACTACCACCACTGCACCACTACCACCCCCTACTTCCATACTCCACTACTACCACTACAATTCCCCACTACCACCATACTACCATACTACCACTACCCCCACTACACCACTACCACCACTACCACCAAATTCCCCACAAACCCCCACTACACCCTACCACCCTACCACCACTACCACCATAACCCCCACCATACCACCACTACAAACCCCTACCACCACTACCACCACTACTCACTACTACCACTACTACCACTACCACCACTAACCACTGCTACCCTCTCCCACACCACCACTACTACCACTACTACCACTACCACCATACCACCACATACCACCACTACCACCATATACCACTACCACCACACACCACTACTCCACTACCCCCACTACCCCCCACTACCACCACTACACCACTACCACCCCCTACTAACCACTACCCACTACTACCACTCTACCACATACCACTACACCACTCCACCACTACCACTACCCCACTACCACCACTGCTACCACTACTACCACTACCACCACTACTACACTACCACCACTATCCACTACCACTACTACCACTGCTACCACTACTACCACCTACCAACCACTACCACCACTACCACCATACCCCACTCCACCACTGCACCACACTACCACTACCAACCACTACCCCACTACCAAACCTACCACCCCTACTATCACTTCTACCACTACCACCACTTTCCACCACTACCACCACTACACCACTACTACCACTACTACCACTACTCCCCACACCCCTACACCACTCCCACTACTCCACCAATTTTTCTACCACAAAAACTAACAACCACCCCTAAAACCACTACCCCCACTCCACCACACAAAATATACCAAACCATCACACCACCCTACTACCCCTACCACCACTACACCATACTACCCCTCTACCATAACCCTTAAACCACTACCCCCACTACACCATATTCCATTTTCCCCCACTACCACCATCCCCCATCCACCACTATACACTACTACCACTACTACCATACCCAATCATCCACCACTTACCCATCACCACTACCACCACTCCACCACTCCCCACTACCACCATCCCCACTAAACCACCACTACCACCCCCCCTACCACCACTAAACCCCCACTCCACCCCTACCCCCACTACTACCACCCCACCCCCATACCACCACCTACCACTACCCCCCACCCCACTACACCACTCCACCCCCCTACCACCACTACCCCCACTACCACCACAACCACCACTACCACACTACCACCACTACTACCACTACACCACTACCACCACTACCACACTACCACCACTACCACCACTACCACCACTACCACCACTACCACCACTACCACCACTACCACTACCACCACTACCACCAATACCATCAATATCACCACTACCACCACTACTACCACTACCACCACTACCAACACTACCACCACTACCACTACCAGATGTCGCAAGGTTGGTAGAACACAGACACTCAGAGCAGAGTAATTCTTTATCTGTACGGTCAGATATGTGTTTGTTCTCTTGTGACATCAGAATTTTGATGTCTATTGCCATCTCTGTGTCTATCAAAGTTATCATCTTTCCCGAGATCTCTCACAGAGGTCGCCTTAGAGAACACTCGAGTATACCTGGAGTATACCTGGAATATACCTGGAGTATACCTGGAATATACCTGGGGTATACCTGGAATATACCTGGAGTATACCTGGAATATACCTGGAGTATACCTGGAATATACCTGGAGTATACCTGGAATATACCTGGGGTATACCTGGAATATACCTGGGGTATACCTGGAATATACCTGGGGTATACCTGGAATATACCTGGAGTATACCTGGAATATACCTTGAGTATACCTGGAATATACCTGGGGTATACCTGGAATATACCTGGAGTATACCTGGAATATACCTGGAGTATACCTGGAGGGTGTTTTGGAGGTCGGTGCCTCCGCGGCCCGGTCCGTGAACAGGCCTCACGGCGGATCAGGACCTGACCAACCAAGCTACTACTGCTGGTCGCACGTAAACCAACGTAGCAACCACAGCCTGGTTGGTCAAGTACTGACTTTAGGTGCCTGTGCAGCGCCCTCTTTGACACCGAACATACATGAACAGAGGAATAAAACACATGTGCAGCACCTGGTACCTTTATTTTGAAGACGTTTCGCCCGTCAATGACTATTAACTCAGGTATATATATATATATATATATATATATATATATATATATATATATATATATATATATATATATATATATATATATATATATATATAATATATATATATATATATATATATATATATATTTGTCCAGCTGTTTCTCAAGGAGGGGCCGTCAGACGCTTTGTTGGATGGTGTTATTGTAAGTGGTAAGTGAGTGTAAGTGGTGCCAGTCAGTGGTAGTCTTAGGTGGCACTGGGTGGGGGGGAGGGTGTTGCCTGTTGGCATTATGTAACTGTCAACTGATCTCATCACCTTAACACACTCTTAACACACGCTCTAACATAACACACACTCTAACATAACACACACTCTAACATAACACACACACTAACATAACACACACTCTAACATAACACACACTCTAACATAACACACACTCTAACATAACACACACTCTAACATAACACACACACTAACATAACACACACACTAACATAACACACACTCTAACATAACACACACACTAACATAACACACACACTAACATAACACACACACTAACATAACACACACACTAACATAACACACACACTAACATAACACACACTCTAACATAACACACACACTAACATAACACACACTCTAACATAACACACACTC